AAAATTAACGACGAGGGCCGCATCAAGCCCGGACCCACACGTAGCCTTGGCGTGCTGGGAATGGCCGTTTCATCGGTCGCGTCTGAGCGGGAGAGCGGGGCAGGAGCAGGCAAGCAGGCAGGGAACGGGCGAGCGTGTGTACATAGGGTCGGTCGGAGCAGGCAATCAAGTGGGCGAGCAGGCAAAAACAGAGAGTTAAACGCATGAAGTATTCACTTGGTGTGTGTGTGTGTGTGTGTGTGTGTGTGTACATGCATAAAGATCGAACGATCAAGGCAAATTCGAACCGTAAGGAAATAAAAACGGTAACTGTTACAGGGGGATATCACAAATCAACAGGCAGGGAAACAATAAAACTCTAACGGTATGATAGATCATTTGACTGCGCATTTGAACAACGCATGACCAACGACGCAAGGCACAAACCCTCAGCTCTGGGGATAAGCATGTATCGTTCTCACGTGACAGTAGCAGGGCATCGTGAATGCGGGTGAAAAGCGCAGATACTTACCTGAGTGATTTTTCATGTATTCAAGTTGTTGACATAACAGATCGTAGGAAGAGGTACGAGACCATTTCTCATCTGTGGGTGTGTGGGTGCGTGTGTTGCGCAACATGACGGAAGGCGAAAAAGGAGTTGAATAGCATGCAGGAGAGTGATCGGGGGAGGGAGAAAGTCCATTTTATGAAGAAGCATAAAAACAAAAACAACAAGCACAATCACGTGACAGCAACAACAACAACAACAACAACAACAATACGTTAAACATGATCATACTTAGGATAGAAAGATGTGGGCTTGTGGAACCATTTGTTCCTACACTTCTAAGATGCCACAGTGAACGCGAGTCATTTTTAGTTCCTGTCTTACTTCCACTCATATATGTCACGTGACCCAGTGCATGACACAAACATGTTTTCATGCATTGACCGATGGAGTCCTGATTTGACAAACAAACAGTAAATGACTTTTTTCACTCATTGAGTACACAAATGCATAGTCAACTTTCAGGAATAGAGCGGCGGTCATGCA